CCCCAAAACCCCAAAACCCCAAAACCCCATATCTTAACCTGAGTACTGAAGTATTATGGAGGATATATGGCAGCGTACAGGCTGATGCAAAGACTCTGAAGAGAGAGCAAGAAGGAGTTTGAGAGATTAGAGAATGAGATAAGAGAGTTTTATAAGGTGAATTTACCCTGAGAAGTTGAGATTTTGAATATAAGTGGGGAGTGTCTCAAGAAGCTGCTTTGGCGTAATTTTTATAAGGTTTGACGGATTTCCTTGATTTGTGAGACTAAAAAGAGCTTGGACATTGCAATAAATCTGATTTCTGATACATGAGGTCCAGAAAATCTTTGATTGAATAGGATTGAGATTAGATACAAAGATGCAATGATAAAAACTGACTTTGTGAAATCATTCAACAAACTAATTTACAGTCTAGAGAGATCCAGATTTGACATACTAGATCTTGTAGACTTTCAACTGAGTGATGAATGTACTCAATTCCTCAACGATTGCCAGTATCCAAGTATTGATTATTTTGACTACCTTAATTCTGAATCTGATATCGCATTCAGATGAGGATGGATAAATGAGCTAGAAATAGACCTTACCAACCAAGAAAGAATTAATCTCCAAACACGACTCTCTTTCAATGTCTGAAACTTGATCATTAAGGCTGATAGCTCCTGAATGGTTATTGACAACATTATCGGATCTGAGAAAATTTTTACTCAAGTTAAAAAATTTATTACATTAAAACTTGGAGGGTTTTGTGATGAAGACAAACTTCTGATAAGAACTCTTAGAAAGCACATTTCTTCAGACATAAAGTTGGTATTCCAGATGACCAATGAAAATTTCAAGTGAAGAATGCTCAAGGACTTCCTTGACTCCAACTGTAGCATACTTCAAACTAATGCTCATTCACCCTCAATTGCTAAGTTCGAGAATGTGTCTATCTACTTTCGAGTCCTTGATGAGATTTTTAAAGTTCATTGTGAAGAGTTTTACATCAAAGATACTCTAGACGAAGACCATACTATTAACGTCTCTGAGCATTTCATCAGACTTGCTTTCATCAATGACAGAGAGAGCGAGGATGGGTTCGAAATCTCCTGATGTACGCACAAACCATGACTTGTAGACACCCATGAGTATTTCAAAGAACTTCTAGAGGTATTAGAGACTGATAATAGCTTTGCCATCCTAAATTCACAGCTTGACTTAGATTACCTTAAAATCCCCCATTGCGACTCTATTTTTCTAGAATTGAACATAAAAACCCTTGGTATGTTTCATGTAGAGCCCAAAGGAGATGATGTTTTTAAGTGGAACAGGCAGATATCTCGGTTTATCAGTCTAATTCCTTCATCTCCAAAATTTTACGAGTTCAACTTATGAAGTTTTGATTGGAAGTATCACAAGTTTCATATCCAAAAGTTCCTCAAAACTAAGCCATTCTGAATCTACTTGAAGCTCGATCCAGATTTTGAGACAACTATGCAGATGAATCATCGTGAGGCTTACCGGAAAGAACTTGTAGACTTGATCTATAGCTGTTCTTCTCTGAGATATGTATTTATAAAGATGGAAAATCATTCCATCGAAGAAGAGATTTATTATGATAGGATCATCTCTAATTTAAGCTCAGATTGTGCCCGATGTCAAACAAATATCAAGGACTTTGAAGAGGAGTTACTAAAGATCATTAACTTAGATGAAAAATATGCCAACAAGAAAGTTGAATCTAATGAATGTTGTCTTCAACAAGCCATCATCTTCAAGCCTGACTGACTAGAGTTGACCAGGGATGTAAAATCAATCTATTTTGGCTAATTCTTTCATAATTTCAATGATAAACAAAATTGATGGGGTTTTGGGGTTTTGGGGTTTTGGGGTTTTGGGG